ATAAAAATATCATACACTAAGATAAATATAATTAGATCTAAAAATCGACGGTCATGATTCGTCGAAATATATGCAACAAATTACATATGTGTGTGGTGGCTATTTCGGTGCACTCACTTTTTTTTTGGTGTGTTGGTCTAGATAGCATTTTCTTACTAAGGGTATGTCGTACCCTAGATTTTACCAAAGGTACGATAGAAGGCACCATATATTTATATATATGTGTGGTGGCTATTTCGATGCACTCACTTTTTTTTTTGGGTGCATTGACTCTAAAAGTAGCTATAAGATATCAAATGTTGAACTTTAACCGGTAGCATTAGTCTAATATAATAATATAACAAAGGATCACAACTAATCAATCAATTATCCTATCCTCTAAACCTTCAAATTTGAGAAACCAACCATAAACTCCAAATTGTGAACCCTAACCCTAAATCCTTCAAATCAAAATAAATCTTTAAATGATTTTTTTTTTTGTAAATTCAAGGGGTTCCTATCCATCATATCACAAGTGACTAGCGCTGGAAGTTTGGTACTAGTATTTGGTATATACCGAATACTGTACCGAATTTATCACTATTGGGTATTACCGAATACTGATTTATTTTTTAGGGATCGGGATTGGGATTCAATTTGGAGTGCTATTCGATATTCGGGATTACGGGATTGTGATATGTATATACCTAAATATATCGAAATACCGAGAAACAACAAAAAAAAAACTTAATGAAATATATCACACAACTTTTGGTCATTCCTCACTCTTTCATGACTCACAAGTCTTCACCCAAGTCAATTTTGGTTTTTCAGTTTAAGTCACTTTCGTCTCTCATCTAATCTCTTATTATTTTCATAACGTAAAAAAAAAAATGCTTGTATTGGTCGTCTATCAGTCTTCAATTCGTCGAATTAAAGATTACCAATGATAAGAACTTGAGTTGCCACCTCTCCTCCCTTCTCCTTTTCCATGTCCTAGCTCTAAGCAAACTCAAGACATTTTGCTTAGTCTCTTTGTCCTAAACTAAACATCAAATTTAATTTATATATTTAATTATTAATTACAAAAGTAATTAATTTAATATTCGATAATACCGATTGGGATACTGAAATACCGAAATACTTAGGGATTGGGATTGGGATATCGAAATTATTTAAAGATTGGGATTGTGATTGATTTTAGCGTGTAATTCGCTATTCGAATTTTGATATTTGATATTAGGATACTGATATCGTACCGATTTCCACCCCATTGGCATCGTTTCTCTCTCGTTCCAATTGGCCAACACAAAGTTAAAAAAATTCTTAAGCTTATAGGCCTATGCACCAAATCCAACCTGCTTCCGATGTAGTCGAGCTGATAATTTTGAGAGCTTAAAACTTAGATTACATTTTCGGATATCAAAGTTGATCATACAATAAGTGTCGTTTAAGATCATTGGATTAAGTATTTAACCCCTACTTCTAGTAGTATATAAATTTTTGAAATCATCCCAACTTCTATTCACAAAACCGAATTGTTATTTGTCATCTCATTTGAAAATTTTACAACTTTCTCCTTCCTTTCTTTTCTAAATTGCTAAAGTCTATAACATTCCTCCCATCCAACAAAGCACACCTCCCTCCCTAAGTTTTGCCATTTGACCTCACAGTTGTTTTCACCCGTTGCTGGTAGTAGGGATGGGCAATGCATGGATGGTTTTTTTGTAAAAATTCACTCACACCCGTTTTGGTCGGTGATGAAAAAATGACTAACAGTAACCCATTTTTATCATTATAGACTAGCACCGGGCCCGGCCCCTTGGCCGGGAAAGTCTAGACAAAAAATATGTTCATATAACATGCTTACAATATAATAGGAAGATACGACATATCACTGAAAAAAGAAATATAATTGTTCAAAGAAGAAAAGAAAAACATACAAAATAATAGGTTTTCAATACTTAAAAATGGCAAATAGTTCAAGATTAGAGTTGTTTTTCCTAAAACATACATAATGAACCCTCAGAAGGAAAGAAAAAGATTGGTCTCTAACAGATTTTAGGAATGAGATCATTTGTAACCCTAATTAATGTCTAACAGATACACCCATATTATTCCTCTTCATAGAAAGTAGAATAAGGATCAGCTGGTTTGGAAGCATGCTAGTCGTAGTCCCCGAAGATGCCTAGAAAATAGTCCGGGTTCTCAAGAGAGCTTCAAACTTAAGGCTGAGTGCAACTAATTTTGAATTACATATGTTTGTCTTTGTCAGTGTTGCTGATACTTTCACTGACTACTTTGATTGGTAAGTTGACCATAAATAATAGGGATATACCTTATTTTGACCTTGAAGTTTGTCGTAAAAGCCAAACTTGACATGAACTTGCAAATAAGACAGTTTTTCAAAATTTTGAAAGAAATGGACAAATTTGGACTGAAATTTATGTTGTTCGTTAATATTAAAAGTTAAAAATTTCTTCATCCATTCAACATACAATGCTCAGGTGGTTGCGATTGCGATGTGGCTTCCATGTCATAGGGATGATACCTTATTTTGGCATGAACTTGATGTAAAAGACAATTTTGGCTCGAATTTTCAAATAAGATAGGTTTGTTTGCACTTTGAAAGAAATGAACAAATTTGGTCCGAAATTTGGGTTGACCTTTAATATTGACAGTTGTGATAGAGAGGTTTCGGTTGCGATGTGGCTTCCAAGTCATTTATTTATAAAGTCTAAAAAAGTGAATTTTTCAGAAGAAAAAAAAGACCACAAAATAGGACCCTTAGTATATCCTAATATTTTCATATTTACTTGCATAAATCATATTAAAAGGAAAAAGAAATTGATTCAGGCCCCCAAAAATCCCAAAGCACGAAGCTATCTCTCTTTGTACCCCTCTCATCAATATTAACGGCAACCTAAATTTTGGGTCAAAGTTATTCATTTCTTTGAAAATTCGTACAAAACTGTCTTATTTGAAAGTGTAGGGCAAAATAGCATATTATACCTATGACGTGAAAGTCACACCATAGTCACCTTAACATTGTATGTTGAGTCATAAAAAAAAGAAATGTTTGACCCTCAATATTAATAACCGACCAAATTTGTTAATTTCTTTCAAATTCGGACAAAACTATCTTATTTGAATGTTCATGCCAAAATTGTTATTTACATCAAAGTTCAACACAAAATAGGATATTATCCCTAAATAATATAGGAGTACTAAAAATATTGGACTAATGAAGTTCAAAATGTTTCAAACAACATACAACCCTGATAAAACTGCAGTCCAACCAACTAACATTTAGAACAAATGACTTTCCAGCAGGATAACACAACTATAAGTATGGGTGGTTCTATCATATTTTGATTAAGAAAATGACATAAGGAAATGATATATAGACCTTGAATGATATACTCTGAGTATGAAAATGACGTCTAGTGGCCGGAGCTAGGGACATGGTACTATACCTTAAGCCCTTACAGATTAAAATCTAGGTCTTAATTCTATGAAGCTCATATACTAAGATCAATTTTATTAGAAACAATAATCGAAGGTCGTGTTTCATCAAAATACATCAACAAAATTATGTGCATAATCTTAGTGTTCAGGGCAAGGATTGAAAACCCTTAACGTACCGGGGGTTCGACTAAACCAGTAGGCACTATGTAGTGTTGTGAAACGACTGAATCACGGTTAACCACAGTTTTCGCATAAAATACCCTCCTGCCGACTTTTTCGGTACAACCTCTGATGAGGTTTTATAATCCTTGGTTTAGGATCTATGATTTAAATAGTTAAGACCTAGAGTTCACTCGTCAAGGGTTAGAATATAGTGTCTCGTCTCGAAATCAGGTTAATTCAAAGTCTAGATTGCCATTTCTTACCAAGGGTATGAGTTACCTTTTGATTTTACTCAAAATATGATAGAAAACACTACACACACATACTGGTATACTACAGGAGTATAGTATACTGGTATACTCCAAGAGTATAGTATACTCCACATGATCTAGACATTAGATGTACTTTGTTGAGCTCCAATCAATCTCAATGGTCAATTATAATTTTCCATTAAATTAAACTTTGGGTTTGAGTTTAGAGAATCGGGGCCTGGGGTTTATCCATTAGAGGTTAGGGTAGAGTATCATACCCCAAACTCGGTTAAAAATCATGGTCTAGATAGAGATATCTCACGAAGAGTACCTGAAGTATAATATACTCCAGGAGTACACCAGTCTGACCCATATATATGTGGTTGTGTGTGCACATATATATTTAATATTGTAATTTGATATGCAATATTCGAATAAATGATATTTGGATTGCGGTTTTAAGATTATCCTCCATTTATAAGATAGATTACCATTATTATTGAAGTCAAAATAAAATAATAATAAATGATAATCAAAGATCCAACACTAAAAATGCTTAAGAAAGACTTAGTGGGGTAGCTAACTGTGCTGGAAAAGTCATTTGATTTTCAGAATTTTGCATCTTGTATGTTTTTTTTATAAATAAATGCAATAAATTTGTTTAGTCTTATTGGTTATGACTCTTGTCCTTGTTAGAAGAGACCCGGGTTCAAATCTTGACACTGATATTTTTTTCAAATAAAAAAATAAACAATTGCAATGACGAAAGTACCCTTCCTACTTTCACTCTCGTTGCAGAAAATTTGAAATGGAAGAAAGTTGAGTCATGAATCTCCATCATATATCTTATGGATGGGTTGGGTGCGTGACGGCTGATGGTGGATGAGTTTTGGCCATTTTGATGGGTCAATTTTTTTAATAATTAGATAATCATAAGCATTTTTTAGGGTTAATTGTATGGTTGGTCACTGAGATTACAAAAAACATTCATGTTTGGTCACTGAAAATATTTAAATCCAACCTCGGTCACTCAACTTAGTTAAATGGTTCAAATTTGGTCACTCTCCGTCCAACTCCGTTAAATTTGTCTGATGTGGCAGTCAATCCTCAAAGATGACCGTTAACTCGGTGACGTGATAATTAAAAAATAATAAATAAAATAAATTTTAATTTTCTACCATGGTCCAACTCATTTTCACAAGAAAGTAAAGTGGTTTTCGGGATGGGGCCGTGGGAGATGATGCAGGTATAGTCCTCGGAAAGCTCCATTTCGCCGGCGGTGAAGACCCGCTGCGGCGGTGAGTTCGAGGCGTCCAGACCCGAATTGTCCGACCCGAACGTCGTGGATTTCAGTATGGGGGATGGGGATAGACCGGAGGAGGAGAAAGAGCTTCCCAATTGAGAGTTCCTCCTTTTGATCCCGAAATCGGCCGGAGATCTGGGGGAAGACCCTGCTGCTGGGGAAGAAGGCGGGAGGGAGAGCAAGGAAGAAGGGATCTGAATCTTGAGTTGGGACCCGAACAGAACCATTCGGCTCTCGGCGGGTAATTTTGTTGATGAATTTGGGGGGCTCTTGTTCTGATCGGAGAAAAGAACGTCGACAAGGCCGAGCCCGATTTTAGGGGAATCGAGGTTTTCCCAGTACTGGCTCCGCTTGGGAGCGTCGGCGGCGGCGGGAGAAGCGAGTTCAGGGGATAATGGGTTTTTTAGGCCGGAGAAGGACTTGCTGTCTAGGATGGAAGTCGGGCTCATCATCGCCGCAGCTTCGACGGTTTCATTCTTGAAGGAGGCGAAGGCAGTGGAAGGGATGTGGTGGTGGAGGAGGAAGCTACTCTTTCAATTTGTGCTTATAATAATTTTTTTATTATTTTACTTTATTGTGAGAATGAGTTGGAAATGGTAGAAGATTAAAATTTATTTTATTTATTATTTTTTAATTGTCACGTCACCGAGTTAACAATCAACGTTGAGGATTGACTACCACATCTGACAAATTTAACGCAATTGGACGGAGAGTAACAAAACTTGAACCATTTAGCTAATTTGAGTGACCAAGATTGAATTTAAATATTTCCAGTGACCAAACATGAACATTTTTTGTAATCTCAGTGACCAACCATACAATTAACCCGCATTTTTTATGTCAACGCTGACAAGTAACTTTTAGATGACGATAGTGATTTAGAAGAACAACCATTTGAGAAAAAAAGAGGTTAGTTGACAAGATGATGGTTATTGATGCTCTCTAAGGCCAAACTTAGTTATAGTAGTTAAATTAATCATTTGCTCTGGACGAGGTGATTATTAGGCTAGGCCTTTTCCTGGTACCTTGAGTTTTAAGACCTCAAGCACCCAGAGGCTCAAGGAAAAGCATAAAGGGCTTTATTTCATGACCATGCGGGTTGCTTTCCTGCCATCAATGAACTGAGAACTGAGATTAAAACATGACCGAGTTCCACAATCATTCCCAATGGAAGCAGGCCAACAACCCACGAAGCGCGCCATGGGAAGCTGGTCTCCGACGTCTAGGCTGAATCAGAACCTGCAACTGTAATAATAATGGATCTAATCATACCAACATACAGAAATACCTTACGTTTCGCATCTAAGAAACTAAAATGGTTGCTTCCATTACCAAGATCAATATAGGTAACTCATGTTGTAATCAAGATTAGTGTCAGCAGCAATAACACCAACATAATCTCGAAAGGGCATCTGTGTTTCAGAATTACATAGAAGTAAACGGACTCAAACTAAAATTAAAACAGGTCGATGCTCAGGCTAATGAGAGATCCATCTAGAACTAGACTTAACAAGCAGGAAAGTGGAGAAACAACCCCTAAACTAAATCCAGATTCCAGAGCACCATCACCATGCGCTGCACAAAACTGGAGGAGCCGCCGTAAGTGCCAAGAAAGATCAATTCCAACTCCAGAATTCCAGTCCAACGACCAACATAAACGACAGAAGAATCAGTGGGCAACAATATTAGCGGCACTTTAATACCAAAATCACAGAAGCACCATTTGCATTCCATAACTTCAAACACAGACTAGCCTGAAAGGCAATAACAACCCGACTTGTTTGAAGCGATACCTGGTAGAATGGCAGAACCAATGAAACCCATGTTCATGTTAGATGACATCCACCCAAGAAGGAAACCTTTTAACCAACACGACTTCTGAACAGATGAAACTATTATCTTTTCAAGGGCCTTGATATAGACACCACAGATACGCAGAGGCAATCACAAAACCCAACCGAATATCGCTAATTTCATGAACATATGTGTCTAGTTCCAACTCTTGCTCTGATAACTACTCAACCTTATGTGCAATCTAAGAACTAAGATTAAGCATGATTGAATTTGACAACCTTTCTGAACAACAACAAACCATACAAACATAAACCGCCGGAAGCAAGGATTCAAGATACTAAGGCAGAACCATAACCTGGTACTGTAATAATATCGATTCATCCACAGCGACCGAAGATCATTATTCCTACAAATACCTTTCTAAGAATACGAGATAACAGAAAATTCAGAAACAACTACTACGCAAAGTCGACTATCTAGGACATCGTCTACAATTCCAAAGGTGGAAAACAATAACCACTTTTCCCATGAAGATAAGCAAGTGAAATAATTCCCAATTTTCTTGAAAAGTTTTGCTGTTCACATCCATCACCTAACGTAAACTATAGCCAATCAAGTCAAGAAGCCATTAAAGTAGGTATCAGAGATTGGTAGGAGCAAAACCTATTGATCAACTCAATTTCAACTCACGGGAAATTCTAAGAGCATAACAACCATCACCATTGTCAGATAGTTACTTGACACATATCTATAGCTAGGCTATTACAGGTAGGTTAACACATCCAGAACCTGTAGAAGAATCACGTTTGCTTCTGGTTTATGGACTCCATAAAAGCCAACCTAAACATTAAACTCAGGATTAGTTGAGCAACCGAGACTAGGCACAGGTCTACTCAAGGATCCCAAAGACATGCGAATTACAGAGTTTGAGCAATATGATAGGTTGGCCACAAGGGCAACAACTACTCATATTTTCTTCAAGGACTCATTGCCTTCCAAAAAAAACAAACATCACGCATTCACTTCAGCTGTCAAATTTCCAAGAAGACCAGAGATGGTTTCACAATATCATACCAAAGAACTATTATGTGGCACATCAAGTAAAACAGGGTTGTTTCAAACAAACAAGATCAAGGCAACTCTTTCACTGTGTTATAGTTTTGTGAAATTCAACACGTGTAAAGTTCAATTTAATCCCAGTAAGCACATTTAGACTAGTTCACAACATTGGAAGAATACATATGCAGACACACTCAACAGCACTGTGCCACCAGCACAATATCAAAGCAACGTCCAATTCTCATAATTGGAGCCACACTCTGGACCTTCATGTCCAGACTTTCATCAAGAAAGGTTGAGCAGACATGAACACCGCCAAATGGAGTAAAGGGAACATAAGGACAAAGGATTAAGCCTAATCACCTTTAGAGTAGCTATTCTAACCCTAACTTGATGAATCCCGAAGAAACTAAATAGATAGGCATCTGGGATCCTGAACTAGGACCCGAGAGAAATCAAAACTGGACTGGGCACCGAACTAAGACTGGAATTTGCAGTCCATCAACCTCAGAATCCCTAAGATGCTTTAGACATGATGATAATTTGTTTGAATTGTTTCTGGAAGTGTTTTAACCTCATATTGAAAACCACTGAGAGCTAACATGTAACCAGCTGATGGCATAGACACTTTTTGTTTCAGTAATAGCAATACTAAATTTCCCATAAGAACTATCAGTAATTAGCCAGTTAAACATATCCCATGACGACTATGAACTGTAGCAACCCAATATATCCATTAGAAAGGGAACTAATAGAAGCAAGGATCCAAGAATATAGAGGCAGAAGAAGAACAAGCTACTGTGACCATATTGGATTCAACTATACAACCAAACCCTCTTGCTTTAACCAGTACCATTATAAGAGTTTAGTAGCTCGATATCTGCAGCTTTCCCTTGCATGTGATTACAGTGAACATAGCATACTCACACCCACTCTCTGAGATAAGAACAATGCATCTTGCAAATCGTAAATATTCTAGAGGATTCGGAAGCAGTCTATTAACCATATCAAATTAAACTATACCAACTCAATGTCCTTGACTTTCACAACCGATATAGTCATGCAAGTGACACAACACAGTAAGCCCACATGTACTTTCCAGATTTGGCAACAAATTTCATACCACAACAAATTTCATACCAAAATAAGTTCCCTACCAAATCTCCCATTAAGTCAAGATAGCCGCAGAATTTTGATGAAACTAAAAATACATAATTGAGACTATGATTATCTAATACGATGTGTTAACATGAAACAAAGAATTCAGGTTAATATACTCCATTGCGAAAGACAAGTGAGCAGAACCCACACAACAACGTTAAAATTTCTATCTAGCAAGCACGCAACTGTATACCGTATAGAATCCAACTACTATTAGAATCAATAGTATAATGCATCTTGCAATTTGTAAATATTCCAGAGGATTCAGAAACAGTCTACTAACCATATAAAATTGAACTATACCAACTCGATGCCCTTGACTTTTATAACTGATATAGCCATGCAAACCCGTATATATGTACTTTCCAGATTTGGCAACTATATTTCATGCCAGAATAAGTTCCCTTACAAATCTGCAATTGAATCAAGATAGTCTCAATCTTATGATGATGAAACTAAACATGCAGAATGAGACTATGATTATCTAATACGATGTATTAACATGAAACAAAGTATTCAAGTTTATATACCCCATTGCAGAAGACAAGTGAGCAGAACCCCACACAACAATAACATCAAAATCTTTATCCAGCAAGCGCACAACCTTACATCGTTTAGAATCCAACCACTATTAGAATCAATAGTATAATGCATCCTCCATGACAAAAAAGGAGTAAAACAATATTCACCTCGAAAATCACCAGAACCAATTATTATTTAAGGCAGAACGACAACCATGACTAACCATAATTCGCTTCAGCGCAGTTAATTTTCACTACGCGAATGACCACAATCCCACAACCAGAAGGGCAACCATGACTAAGAATAACTACATTCTAGGACCTTATTAAGCGAAATTATCAGAGTAGGGACTCATATAAATGCAAGCACTACCAAGATAGTAATCAACTAATTAACCAGGCAAACCCACTATTCAATATTAGGGAACCAAACATACAGCAGGACAACAAGAACTAACAACAGCTCCGCCTATGACTTTTTGATTTTCACTTGGAAGTTACGAATACGAGATATATTCCAAGAACAACCAATTTTCACTTTGGAAGTTTCAACCTATAAAATCTTGACTTGTGGTTGCAGAAGGGAAATTGGACTAAGCAAAACTCACTTCTCATAACTCGTAAGTTCAGCTTCACAGAATCTATCTCCGGAACTATAACTTTTAGACAAGCAAAAGAGAAACTAGAGAGTAGTGGCATGTCCACTATGCTTAACAGAGGCCGTACCTGGGACTAAAATTCCTTTCTAGAACATTTTGCCATTAAACCCAAGAGCATTGACATGGCCACTATGCTTACCAGAGGCAGTATTTGGGATCAACATCCCTTTCTAGAACCTTTTGCTTTTAAACCAAGAGAACTTACATGATCGATAGGATTACCAGAGGCATTTTTGGGTCAACGTTCCTTTCTGAACCTTTTGCTTTTAAACCCAATGAAAATGCACAAGCTAGAAGATAGGAAAAGGAAGCCATGAGTATCACGATTAGTTGTAGGACCTACTAATTTTCCCTCGGAAAATATCCACAACCAATAACCTTATTCAGGGCAGAGCAGACAACCAACAACTCTGGTTGAAATTAACACGGAGAATATTTCAAACTAGATTCTTTGCACAAGGGAAACGAGCAACCAGGACCAACTAAGGCTACCTTCTAGGACACTGCAAAAGGGACACCAGATCTTTTGTGGCAAAGGCGAACAAGGAATTATCAAGATCTTTGGACTTCCATAAGTTTCGACTGTAGAATTACATCCACCATTTCTAGTAATATGTTTGAGATCTACTGTAGCTCCCGTCTATGACCCCTGTTAAATCTAGCAGGACTTCGACAGTATAATTAAGCACTGATATTCAGAGGCACGACCTACAAACCAGCCATAAGCACTCTTCAAATTAATCACACTTTGTAGGCTGTAACACTAAAGATCTCCCCTTATCAATTAGATAGATGGGAAACGAGGACTTGCAGCTTAGCTTAGTGAATGGCAGCAAGCAGAACGTGAGAAACGGAACACATACTATGCTCAGGCAGATAATCTCAACTCAAAATGGTCAGTAGAAGTAGAAGAGTGCAGTGTGCAGCCACTTGACATGATTCTCTTCTAGAGCTATCTTTCAAATGCTTGTTTAATGTAATTTTCATCAACTGGTAAGGTATAAAGAGCAAAGTTTGGTGTCAAAAAACACTGCCACTAGACATATATCAACCAACTAACCAGGCAAACTCATTGTTCTATGTAAATACATCAGGACGAAAGAACTAGGCACAATTTCTCCTAGGACTTCTTTGTTTTCACTTTAAGGATTTCCAGGCATAAGGGAAAGCAAACTCACTTCTAGGAACTTACAAGTTTGGCTTACAGAATCCCCAGAACCAGAATTATTGGACAACTATGCGTACATGAGGCGGCAACTAGGACAAAGACTGGCTTGTAGAACCTTCTGCTTTTTAAGCCCAGAGAAACGACCAAACCAGAATTTTCAGAAAAACAGTCAAAGATTCATTCTAGTACTTCGTGATTTTCCCTCAAAATATCCACAACCAAAAATCTTATTTAAGGCAGACGACAATCAGTAGCTTAGCTATGTTCCCTTCGAGGACCTCTTTTGATTCACATGGAGACATGCCACAAATGGAATCTTTGCATAAGGCAGACAGGCAACCAGAACTGGAAAAGGTTACCTTCCAAGACCTTGTAACCAGAATTCAACGCAATTAATTTTTACTCAATACAGAATGGCAACCATGACTAAGCATACTTTCCATCTAGGACCTGTAATTTTCAATTTAGAACTGCCAACAACTAGTCTTTACTCAATGCAGAAGGGAAATCATGACTAAGCACATTCCCTTCTAGGACTTTTTAATTCACTTTGAGAGTCGCCACAATCAATCTTCACTTAAGACAAAAGGGCAAACATGCCTATCCGTAATTCCCTTCTAGGACCTTACAATTTTCCGTTCGGAGAATTGCCCACAACCAATCTTTACTCAATGCAGAAGGGCAACCATGACTAAGCATGATTCCCTTCTAGGACATTGTAATTCACTTTGAGAATTGCCAGAGCAAATCTTTATACAAGGCAAATGGGCAACCACGGCTATGCATAATTCCCATCTAGGACCTTGTAATTTTCAATTCAGAGAACTGCCACCACTAGTTTTTACTCCAGGCAAAAGGCAACCATAACTAGGCATGATTCCCATCAAGGACCTTGTAATTTTCAGTTTGGAGAATCGCCACAGACAGTCTTTACTTAAGGCAGAAGGGCAATTATAACAAGATAATTCCCTTCTAGGACCTTACAAACGAAATAAGTTCAAATTAATGCAAGCTCACATGATTCGTAATATGTTTCGAATCTGCCGACAACCACTTAACAACGCTGCCGTTTATAAACTCGGACAAATCTAGCAGGATTCTTACGACTTCATTAAGCACTGAAGTGCTGAAAGCAACCAAAAAATGTTTCATAAGCAAAATATTTCCTTCATAAGGGAAACGACTTCACAAAGCTTTCAATAATAGCTTAGTGAATGGCAACAGATAGAATGTGAAACAGAACTAATACTAATGCTTAGGCGGATAATTGCAACTCAGATTGTTAGTAGATGCAAAAGAGTGACCAGCTCATGTAGCAAATCAGATTGCTAATAGAAGCAGATAATTGCAACGCATATATGGTTCTCCTCTGTAACTCCATTTCAGGTGCTTTCTTAATGGAATTTCAGTCAACTACTAAGCTATAAATAGCAGTATGTGGAAAATAAAATGATGACACAGAAATAAATAAAAAAAACTAACAAGGCAATATACTGTTCGAATATTAGCATTGTTCATGCGCAACAAACCAATTTTTGTGATTCTGGAACCAACTTCGATAACGCAGAACTTGGAAATCTGACAAGAACGTAGCAAACAAAATTTTGCATCAAAGAACTAGCAAAAGTTACCATCATGAAGCAACAAAGTGAGAGAGATTATGACCCTTTTCAACCCACTAAGCCTATTTCATCAAAGATCAACAGAGATCACGGGACAAATAAGGGAACTAGCCTGACCAAGAAGGAAACGTGAAACTAAACCCACATGGACCCAGCAAAATGGAAAAGAAGGGGAGGCGACAAGGAGAAGATGACTTAATGTGTACCAGTTAACCATCCGCAAACCTCGGACACCATCAAGGGTTGTTCGCCGACATCCATCGCAACCGGAACCCTAACTCTACTAGACGGCGACACCTTAAAGTCGGACGCTTCTCGTCTCTGTCAGAGGAAAAAAATGCCGAGAAACCTTTCTAATTTATAGAGAGACCATCACGGCGAGTCGGTCGGCAAATTATTACCGTTGGTAAGAAGCGATTAGCCTAAAATCTACGCCGGAGTCGGTTCCCCCAAATTTTCTGAAATTTTACGCGGTTAAGTTTGACTCGTTCAACCCGTGTGAGTGTATGAAAAAGTCTGACATGTGCGAGCAATACACAATGGGCTTTTCTTTTCATAATAGTGGGGCAAATAATGGGTAGCGAGATCCAAGTCACAAGCATAAAATCCACATTCGTCAGGCCCAATCTATTTAAATCCAAGCCCAATACACCAACGATTGCCACCACTCTTTCTTGAATACCATGGTGAAATAATTAGAACTTAGAAGCGATAAATTGATTGAATTCATAGATTGTGGATTGAAGGATTTGGATTAAGAACAGTGAATTCATGGATTGTATCAAATGGATTGGCAAATCGATAAATTCAGTGATCCAAGTGACATCCAAACAATAGACCATTATGTAAATTTTAGTAAGTGTAGGTACTAAAATGTTATAATAAAAATTTCTAGATACCAAAATATAATTTTCAATGGTATTTTTCATTAGAAAATAAATTTTAGCTATCAAATGGTAAAATATATGAAATATAGGTACTGGAATGTAATTTGTCAATATCCATGAATCCATCCATCTAATTCTACTTGAATTAAATAGATTGCACATTTTAATAGGGGGTCATTTGCTTCAAGGATTTGGATGTGGGATTTGGTTCTCAAAGCCCACACATGAAGGATTTGTTCAAAAGCCATTGTTTGTTGAGCCAAAATGGAGGGTACAAAATCCGTTGGGTCCACTGATTCGGGGCTCCAAATCTGTGGGCCCCACGGATTTGTAAATCCCACCTCATACCTTGGGATTTGGAGACAAGCTGAAAAACCATCAAATCCATGATAAAAATAGCTCAACAAACAAAAGATTTTCTCAAATCCATAATGCCCAAAATCCTTAATAAATCCCAAGGTTTTTAATTAGCAAATCCATGACAAAATCCTCGTTATAAAATCCTTGAAGCAAACGACCCCTAGATGAATTGGATTTGATAAAAAATTGTCTCCTCTCCCGGTGATGTTTTGGTCCACACTAGATTAAGGAGTGTTAGAAGGTTCAGTTATGGTTAAACCAAACCGACTGGTTAGTTAACCGCAACCAAAAACGGCTTGAACGAAACGACAGCAAACGATGAAAAGGCAAAGTGGTAGGCTCTATGGTGGACGACGCAAAGTGTGGAAGGCAAAGTGCAGGCTATACGGCGGACGATGACCATTCAACTGTGTATGTGAAACTGGATTAGCGGTTTAATTGAAAAAAATCTCCTACCGGTGTTTAAACCGGTAGGCAATATTTGACGATATATGAATCGGTTGATCCACAATTTGATCATGATTTTAATATAAAATATCCTACCATTGAATTAAATCTTCCATATGATTTTACCGTCCTTGCGATGTAACTGTCGGATGGATTGATTCCCCATCTCTATGATCCTACGACCCTAGTAGCTGTCAATGTGTATTAAGTTTTGTCACGCTAATAGAACTCAGTCTAAACCAATCTCAAGTACTTTTTATTAATATTAGGCAATGCGAGTTTAGGGCCAGCGATCAGCCGGAAGTTTGTCGGTGGGCGGTGGCGGTGAGGCCGGAATTTGAATGTTAAGTAATTCAGTTAACTCATTTTTCTTGATGGGCATTGATTAATTTTGACCCGAAAAGTCTAAACCATTCCTTAAAACGCGTCAGGTGACCGTTATTAAACCTCTCAAGTCTCTCTTCGAATGATGGGGAAAAGTAGGGTTGAGAAAATAGATCGGATCGTAGTCCGTTAAGTATGGTATAGTTTCGTCCGTGATTTGTATTATTTTATGTTTTAATCTTTTGGTCTGGTCTGGTCTAGACCGCGGTTTACCAGACCAAATCGTGGACTCAACCGACTTGTCAATACGTGTTAACAGCCCATTCGACCACTCTCCCAGCTCCCACAACGACACCCATGTCTCAACCTTAATTTTGTAAATCTTGTCCTTCCTTCACAACCACATTTAACCAGAGAATAGAGAGAATCGTATGACATTATGTGAATGTTATAACTTATGTTGCAAGTTGGGATGCTTTTACTTGATATCTTTGTTATGTACTAAGATTTAGGGTATCAAAATTATTATGCATGTTAGGATTAATGTTTTAAGGCAAATAACAATTATTTTTCTTGATTATTGGTTCAATTTTTTGTGTGGTTGACTAAACAAAGTGTTCATTTTCGTTGAGTGTGGTCTATCTGGACCAGACCAGACCGAAACAGACCGCACAGGCGTGGTGTGGACCAAACCTTATAGTCTATTGTCTGATCTGTGATCTTTATTTCAGCCTTTCGGTCTGAACCATAGACCGTATAGATGGTCTGGTCTGGACCAGACCGCACCGTTTCCCAGAAAAAAAAAAAAATAGGCCAACTCAATTTGTCCTTATTGCTGCCGCATCATTTATGTTAATAGCTTTGTTGGTAATTGTATAATCGGTTATCAGTCGATCAACTAATCGAAAACAAGTGAATCAGAATAGTTAGTTAAGAACAATTGATCGATTATCTGTTACCTTTTGCAAATTTTGTTGCCTCCAACGACCAAATACAAAAGATTAGCTCAGTTTTGGGAGTAAACCCTAATTTTTCAGACTGGACTATGAGGTTTCAATGTGGAGGTGGGCAAGTATTTTGGTTGAGGCGCGGTCTTTGGAGAGCGGTAGGATTAATGATTTGGGTTTGGATTGTTGTTCCTATAGGGACAGGGAGAAGAAAGCAAAAATTTGCGAGAGATTTGAAGGAAATTTCAGGAAATTTTTAGGAATTCTTTCTCGGCAGACTCAACGCAGGAGAAGCAACTGCGGTAGTCGTCATTGCTCGTCGGGATTAAAGTGGTTGTTGTTTGTGGAGACTCGATTGAAGGGGAGTACCGTCCCTGCTGGTTGGGAGAAAGTCGCTGCTTCTCCAGCCGCCGGCGAGGAAGAGCCGGTGCAACCGCCACCAATGGTCCACCAGAATCCATCAGTGGAGAGTCTTCAGCGAAGTCGAGGGATGAGGCAAACAAAGGGTGGGTCGATTAAAGGGGACCGGTTGGCTATGTTTATTTTTTAAAATAAAAATTTAATAAAATGAATTATGGATAAGTGAGGGGCATTTGGGTCATTTCCCAGCCTTTTTAACACCCGATTAAGATTAAGTAGACAGAAGGGCATCTTCGTTATGTTTTAATATTAGAAATTTACGTTTGTCCGAAAAATTAGTAGAGAGATACTGTAACACCCTACCCTATACGTTTTGCCTAATCATATTGTTCATACAATTGCAGCGGAATTAATCTCGGGTGTTACATTAATTATCAAAATTTACCCAAATAAAATTTCGACATGAATTACTCGCGTAATGGGCTAACAGTTCTTCCATCTGATCCTGCAAAATAATTCATCTAAATCCATGCATTCATAGACAAACATATACACTCACTTCCATATGCATTGGCTTTCATAGCCATAGCTACCCTTTTCATACTCCACAACTGCATTCCATACTTGTACATACCATAATCGTCGCAACTTACACAGTTACACAACATATACACATATTATCAACTTTCCACACCTGTGGATATCTCACACTACATCAGAAGCTAGTATGCACATGAAAAACGTTCTCAAAACATTTTTTACAAAAAGGTGTGGATCACTGGCCAAAAACCCAAGTAGTCGTCCAAGCACAGAATAGTTGAAGACCATACCTCATCCTGGCTTCAACTCTTGCTCAACTCCCACCTAACACTTATCTACTGCTGCTGTTGATGATCTCCTTACACATAGCATAAGCAGAGAAAAAGGATAAAGAGGGTCAGCTCATAGCTGAGTGAGATAATCATAGCATCGTGAGTTCATAACAGAGCATACCCCTACCATACATCTAGCAAATAAGCCCAAGCACTAGGATCAGACCTCAGCCATCCGACATCCCAATAGGCAAAAGACTCAACCACCTTGACTCATGCATATGCATCTTATCATGTTTTACTTATAGGCGCCTGGCTACTCCCATGCTAATTACTCTCCCGGGAATACGGACCAAACATCTCGTGCATGTGGTCATATCGGACCCACCACTGCCGGTGTAGTCATATCGGACCTGACACCACTATGGGTGTGGTCATATCGGACTCAACACCACTCTGGGTGTGGTCATATCTCATGATGAATCAACGGTCAACACCACATCAGGGGTGTGACATAACATATCATAACGGAGTAATAGCATGGGGAGCCTTAATTACTATGTAATTGACCATGAGACCAAATCACTCTTACTTGATGTCCTTATACATGATCCATATCTCATCTTGCTTAATCATAATTCGTTACTTACACATGTTCTTGACCCGGCCACAATTGGCTCAACATAGGTAAATCAGGAGTCGTATAATTGCACTTCCTCGGGATAAACCCTCGTACAAGTCATCCTCCTTAAACATCATAATATCACCAGAGAATATATATTTTCCCACATGTACATCCAAATACAACAATCATGAACAATCATACCCTATCACCTTTTCGAACCATCATAAGGCATATCAACAGTCAAGCCCACAATTTGCAACATATACACAATCATCGGCATAAGCCAGGTCCATATCGATTAGGGCAAGTCAATAATATCATATAGCAGTCCAGGGTTCATCATATAGCACAAAAGTCCATACACCCCTAATCATGCCATTCTAGTTCACCTAGGTCAATTCTAAGCATCAATATAATTATCGTGATACGACAAACCCGGTATCCGTGCTAATCCCTCACCAGTTCTGGTCGTTCAAACACCGGTTCTAGCCTCCCGTACTAAAACGTCAATTTCACGAACGAACCCCGAATTAAAATCCGAGACCGTCCTAATATCCCCTGCAGTATCCCCGTCAATATTAGTTCTAGGCTCCGGGTCAAATTCTCGATAAAAACACATCAAACCCTGGCCGGAGCTAAATTCAGCGGTTTGGACCCCGACCTAAATAATAGCCGAAATTCAGGGATTAGAACTAGAGG